AGAGTTCTGCCTCTAGGAGGCCTCCTTTTGAGCCCGGCAGAGTGGCCAAACTAACCAATCATAACATCAGAATTCTAAATACCTGAGAGAGAGTGGGTACCTCCCAGAACATTGTTTTGTGCCACTCCCCACAGAAATACTTCAGGTGGACAACTTTAGCAATCAGGAGCTCCTCAGTTGCTCATGACAGATTTTACCTCAGAGTTTACAAAGACTTATGGGTAAAAAAGCCACACTAAGTAATTTACCATACCACAGAGACCAAGAGGTAATGTACAAGTCATCTCTTCTTAAAATTTCTATTTTGTAACCAGAATTACTGGTCAGATGGAGCCTGGTGGAACCCCCAAGACTATGGCCCCAGGTTACCCTTTGGGCCTAAAATTGGACTCACTTCCAAGGACTGGCTCTCAGCCCAACAGTAGAAAGACCTACATGCAGAACACCTAATCTAGGGTGATACACCCACCTACTCTAGGAAGATAGACCCCTCGGAACAATCGGCCATAGGGCACCAGAGGGGTAGCCTTCCTATAGAGGGAAAGCTGGACAGACAGGAGTGCATAGTTAAGAAGGGCACAGGGAAGGGTGGTCACAGGGATGGGAGGGGAGGAGAGTGGTTATGTTCAGGAATGATAATCAGGATGTGAAATCAAATGTACATGAACTCTTGAATGTAAAACAAAGTTTGCTCTGTAAATTTGCACCCAAAGCACCATTTAAAAAAGAAAAGAAAAGAAAACACCTATTTTGTTTTCTGAAATGTGAGGCCAGTAGTCTCTGTCCTGTCTACCTCTAAGTTTGAAAAAAGATGAATAAAAATAGCCACTTAGAACAGAGGTTAGCAAACATTAGAACAGAGGACCAAAGGGTAAACATTTTCAGCTTTGTAGGCCATCTAGTCTCTGCACAACTACTCCACTTTGTTATGGTAGCACAAAAGTAGCCGTAGACAATACAGATAAGAATAAGTGTTGCTGTGGTCCAATAAAACTTTATTTATGGACACTGAAATTAGAATTTGATATAATTTTCACATTGCACGAAATGTTCTTCTTTTGATATTTTTTTCCAACCATTGGAAAAATGCAAAAGCATTTCTAGGTTCACACCACACAAATAAACAGGTTGTAGGCAGGTGTATTTGGCTCATGAGCCCTAGTTTGCTGACCCCTGACTTACAATGTGCTTTGCAAATATAGGCACACCTTGGAGATATTGCAGGTTTAGTTCCAAGCCACCACATAAAGTGAATTATTTCGGTAAAGCAAGTCATGTGAAGTTTTGGTTTCCCAGTGTATATAAAATTGTGTTTATACTATACTGTAAGGAGCTCTGGTAGTGTAGTACCTGAGGCACTTGACTGCTAACCAGAAGGCTGGTAGTTCAAACCCACCAGCTACACCTAGGAAGGAAGGTTGGGCAATCTACTTCTATAGAGATACTGCCTTGAAACCCAAGGCGGGGTCGCTATGAGTCGGGTCTGACTCGACGACACGTAACAACAACTATATTGTAGTCTATTAAGGGTGCAATAACATTATGAAAAAGTTTAAAATACCATGAGAATTACCAAAATGTGACACAGAGACACGAAGTGAACCTGGGCTGTTGGCAAAATGGTGCTGAAAGACTTGCTCAACTCAGGGTTGTCACATACCTTCAATCTGTAAAAACTTCATTGTCCATGAAGCACAATAAAATGAGGTATGCCAATAGTAAAACTCCTCATACCTTTAAGGCAGAAGTATTAAGTTTACTCTTGTCTGGTGGTTACATTTTATAGTATTTCAAGACTATTAGTCAGCTTGCCATTTGTCTTAGTTTTTGAAATTATGTGTTTCCTGTTTATCAATTGGCCTGTACATTTTGTATGAGAACTTGATGCCATTTTGCTGATGACTCACTGAAGAAACCAGCATCCTGTGACCAAGCATAAAGGACCCTCCTGCCTTTTGTGTCATCTTCAGAGAGGCAAGTGGTGGGTTAGAATGGGGCAGGAGCATTAAACTCAAGCAAACCAGACTACAGCCTCTGCCAGTTTCTAGTTTTGAGACCTTGAGCAAGTTATATCAATTCTCTGATTCACCATTTCTTCATTCATTCATTCATTTATTCAACAAATATTCACTGAGTGCCTACTATATGCCAGGTACCGTGCAAGGCCACACAACACTACACCAGTGAACAAGACAGTCTCTGCCTGAAGGAGATTAGAGTGTTAAGGGGAAGGCTGCCACTTACGAGGTCATTACAATGATAAGAGACAACTAGAGTGTTATGGGAAGACAGAAGAGGGATTCCTGCCCCAGACTAGATGAGACACTAAAGAAGCCTTAGAAGGAAGGACTTCTAAGTTGTCACCTAAGCAGTGAGTAATTGTCAGCTAAGTGAAGAGGTAAAAAGAGAGTATGTTCCAAACAAAGCCACTAACCCAAGTAAGGCTAATAGACTAGAAAGTAGGGGGCTGTGGCTAATGGAAAGTAGTTGATTATACTTGGGGCAAAGTGTGGAGTGTGGTGCTGGGAGAGGAGAGAAATGAGCCTGGAGAGGCAGGCAGGAAGCTCATCATTGAGGATCTGTGAGCTGGGTTAGAAATTTAAAGTTTACCTTGAGAACAATGGGGGGGGCGGCACTGATACATCTCAACTGAAGGAATTGAATGGATTGAAGTAGGAAGCAAGTCTGGAGGCAAGGAGATCAGATGAGAGGTGCTTGCATAATCCAAGTGAAACATTGGTAATGAAATTGGAGTAGGGGGCAGCTTCAAGAGCTTGACAGGGGTAGAATTCATGAAGCATGACAATTGATTAGAAGTCGGAGGTCAGAAAATAAGAAGGCTAAAGGATGACACCCAGGTTGCTAGGCTGAGCAAGTATGTGGGTGTGACATCATTTACCAAAAAAAAGGAAAACTGGGGAAGAAAAAGTTTCAGTGGAAAGATGACAGGTTCATTTATAATAATACTGACCTTTCTGTGTTGTTCTAAGTCTTAGAAACATTATACATGAGGCACCTGGCAGAGGACCTGGCATGTCGTGGGTGTTTGATAAATGCTGACTCTTACTCTTGTTTCATTTTTCAAGAATCTATTTCAGGCCCTGTTTTGTTAGATCATGATATTCTTTTGGTACTGAATGTGAGCTCTTTAGAGCCACAAGAATTGCAGTTTTGTTCCTTTGCAGAAAGTTTTCATGTGTGTTTCTTTCTCTCCTTCTCTTCTGCATGCTGCCTGGGGACTGGCTTCCTTGTGGTCAGCACCAATGGGCAGCGCCCAGGTGACCCCGGGGACTCCACTCTGCCTCCTCACCACAGGTGATCATCAGAGCCCTGGGCGGGTGGATGGGAAGTGAGAGTGGCCCACACTCAGCAGGTCCTCCAGGCCAGGTGCAGCAGAGAGGAACTGCAGTCCCTCTATCCCACCACCCACCCACCCACCCACCCAACCACCCACTCACTCACCTGTCCATCCACCCACTCATCCATATATCCATCCTACTGATGCTTACTAAGTACCAGCTACTATGTGCCAAGTACTGTTCTAGGCACTGAAGGAGCTGTTGATGAGCTGAAACAGGCATGCTCTTGTGTCTTTCCAGAATGGGGAAAAGCCATTAGTTAAAAAGGTACAGAAATAAATGTACAACTGCATCTGTGAATGGTGTTACAAAGGAAAACTATATGGTGTTCAGAACACACAAAAGACCTAGAGCTAAGGGAGGACTAAGTGATAATTGAGCTTTGATCAGGAGTTGGGGGAGAAGATGACCTAACAAGTCAGAGCTTAGGAAATGAGTAGGTCTGGCAGCAATCTCAGGTCTGCCATTTGCCTTGGACAAGTCCCTTAAACTGGATGAGCCCTACTTTTCCTATCTGCTAAGTAGGAATAAAAATGCCTGCCTCTTAGGGGCACCATTTGCAGAATACACTTGGGATGAAACAAAATCATGAATTGGAAAGTAACTGGTATGGTAATGCTAGACTAGAGTAAGTATTTGCGTTAAATACCGGGCCCCTTTCTCAAACACACTGCAGGTCCATTTTATTTCAAATATACATCTGCCACCATTCAAACGTTAGGGTGCAGAGCCCATCGATGTCAGAGACAAAAGAGACTCTGTTGACCTAGAACACTGTCCTACAGGAGGCCTTTCTGGCCAATGGGGGGTTTCTTAAAGATTTCAAAACTTTAACTGTCAGCCCTCTCAAAACCAGTGGTCAAGATAAGAGCCTCCTCTCTACCGGGTGCTGACTGGTCAGTTTTTCATGGTGAGAAAGAAGGTACAGCAGACAGTGATGACTGAATCCACCCTTCTAGTACCTTCTCAGTCCACACCTATTCACCCACTTTCCAAACTCAGAAACATCACTGTTAATAAATATCTTCAGGTAGATTCTCTTGACACAAAGCCTGAAATGGTGTTTCTTGTGCAAATGATTTATTGGGGAGTGTGTTCCGGAAAAGGAGTGAGGAAAGCAGTGTAGAGAGAAAAAGCTGAGCGAGGTATGGAGACCAACTTGAGCCTGAGTCCACGGGGAGCTCTGGAGCAGAAATTGAACCACAGAGTTGACCCGCCTTGAGTTTAGGGCCCAGCCTTGGACCCTGTGTCAGTCATCCACTGGCTGTGCATTATCTCCCAGGGACATGGTTCCCTTTTGCCTGAAGGCACATCCTAGAGATGGGGGGCATCTGTGAGTCATTAGCAGTCAGCATCTAAAGCATCTAGAGCATGGGTGTGCCAGCCTAACAAAAGGATGGAGCCCCAACAGCATCCACCACAACCAAGTTCTTCCCTACCTTTGGACCTGCCACTGACCACCATAGCCCCAAGTGTCACTTCTAACACCTGAAGAATTTCATCCCAGCCATTCTTTGGTTGTATGGCATCAAGCAAATTAAACACGTGCTGTGGAGTCTGATCCAACTCATGATGACCCCACGTGTGTCAAAGCAGAACTGTGCTACATAGAGGTTTCAATCACTGATTTTTCAGATACAGATCACCAACCAAGTCGTTCTTCTGAGGGCCTCTGGGTAGACTCGAACCTCCAATATTTTGTTTAACAATCAGGCAAATTAATCACTTACACCATCCAGAGACTCCCTCGAGCAAGTTGCATAACCTTATTTTACCTGCAAAATTAATTATCACACTTCAAAAGTCCTATTAAAGAGCAAATTAGATCATCCTAGACAGTGCTTTGCACAGTTAGCAGCACTCAGTAGATCTTTGCCAGGTGCCAGCTTCTCCCCCTCTTGATCACAGCCCCGTCAGCCTCACCCGTCTCCAAGGGAGACAGCAGTTGCACATGGACTCATGGTGACAGCAAAAGGAAAGTAACACTCACTGCTGAGCCCACACCCAATTTACTGAGAAACAATGCTTCCCCCAGAGTCTGTGTGAGCAACTCCATTTCTACCAGGCCATTGTTCTCTGGGCTCCATTCAAGTCAAGCTGCCAGATCCCGTTTTCTTTAAACAGAGCCAATCCCATATCAGGCACACTTGTTCTTACCTCTTGCCTTCTGAGGCATCTGAACGTTCCTCCTCTGACAGGTTTATTTCATCAAGTGCCATTTATTTCCATGTACTCCTCAGCATCGTCTGATGGGTGAGGTACCTGCGAATGTTTCTCTCCAAGCAGGCTGTCCCTTTCACAGGATGTTTTTGTTAACACTCATCCCCTGGTAGCAACACTGATGTAAATAATAACTGCTTGAGTGAGGAGGATATTAGACTGTAAGCGCAGGCAGCCTCTATTCACATCAGCTCCAACTCAGAGGACAGTGGCACTGTGCTATGTAGAAGGAACAAGCTGGCATGGAAGTCGCTTAAGGCTAAATTCAGCTCTCAGCTCTGCTGCTCTTTGGTCAAGGGATCGTGGGCAAGTTATTTCTCTGTTTGGGGGAGCATATTCTCTCATCTAGAGAAGAGTTACAAATCAATGCCCACAACCGTAGTTAATTGTGAGAACCAAGAATGGCAATAGCTTTGCTTCTTTGTCCAGCTTACACCAAGTAGTTCTTCTGATATCTCTGATTTACTAGCCTTTCCATCTAGGAATTTATGGTCTAGAGCAGGGTTTCTCAATGGCAGCACTATTGACATTTTGAAGTAGATAATTCATTTTTGTGGAGAGCCGTCTTGTGCTTTGTAGGATGTTTCACAGCATCCCTAGCATCTACCAACTAGATACCAGAAACACTTTGTCCCACAGTTGTGATACCCAAATGTATCTCTAGACGTTACTAAATGTTCCTTGTGGGGCAAAATCACCGTCTACTGAAAACCTCTAGAACCACATTGTCCAGCAGAAATAGAAAGGGAGCTACATATATAATTAAAATTTTTCTAGTTATTTTTCAAGAGTGAAAACAGACAAATGGAATTAATTTTAACAATATGTTTTCTTTAACCCAATATATCCAAAGTGTTACCATTTTAACATGCAATCGATATGAACAAATTATTAATGTCAGGTATCTTACATTCCCTTTTGTACTAAGTCTTTGCACTCTGGTGAGTATTTTATGCTTACAGCACATCTCAGTTCAACACTAAATGCCCAATGGTTGAAAAGAAATGTAATCCTACAAAGATAAAATTGTGTTCACCGAGAAAACATGTGCTTCACTTTTTAAATTTATACTAATAGAAATAATTAATTAACTAGCCACACTTCAGGTACTCAATAACTATATGTGGCTCATGGGAACCTTTTTTTAAAAAAAAAAAAAAATTGTGATTTGGGTGAAAGTTTACAAAGCAAATTCACTTTCCATACAGCAGCTGACATACACTTTGTCTCATGACATTGACTACAATTTACCACAATGCAACAGCTCCCCTCCTACTTTCTCCCCATAGTTACCTCCTCCCTGTGTCCTTCCCTCCATGCACTCTTTCCCCCTGAGCTGTCTCCTTGTACATACACAGCCTTTCTATTCTCCCATGATTGCTCTCTCCAAGGAGAGAATTACTATGTAGTGTCAATGTTCATCACATACGCCTGTCTCTTTTTTGG